GCCTCGCTCGACCTGCTGGTGGGGAGCCCCGGCCAGCCTCGCTCGACCTGCTGGTGGGGAGCCCCGGCCAGCCTCGCTCGACCTGCTGGTGGGGAGCCCCGGCCAGCCTCGCTCGACCTGCTGGTGGGGAGCCCCGGCCAGCCTCGCTCGACCTGCTGGTAGGGAGCCCCGACCAGCCTCGCTCGACCTGCTGGTGGGGAGCCCCGGCCAGCCTCGCTCGACCTGCTGGTGGGGAGCCCCGGCCAGCCTCGCTCGACCTGCTGGTGGGGAGCCCCGGCCAGCCTCGCTCGACCTGCTGGTGGGGAGCCCCGGCCAGCCTCGCTCGACCTGCTGGTGGGGAGCCCCGGCCAGCCTCGCTCGACCTGCTGGTGGGGAGCCCCGGCCAGCCTCGCTCGACCTGCTGGTGGGGAGCCCCGGCCAGCCTCGCTCGACCTGCTGGTGGGGAGCCCCGGCCAGCCTCGCTCGACCTGCTGGTAGGGAGCCCCGGCCAGCCTCGCTCGACCTGCTGGTGGGGAGCCCCGGCCAGCCTCGCTCGACCTGCTGGTAGGGAGCCCCGGCCAGCCTCACTCGACCTGCTGGTGGGGAGCCCCGGCCAGCCTCGCTCGACCTGCTGGTGGGGAGCCCCGGCCAGCCTCGACCCTCAGACGCAGATATTATCGCTGACACGGGGAGACTCGAGGCCGTAAATACTGGTTTGCATCGAGAGAGATTGTTTGGGTTATGGGATTAAGGATCAGTGAGGCTTACGTGGGGAGGTTCCTGTCCTAGTGGGGGACTGGGGTCCACGGTGGGGGACTGGGGTCCACGGTGGGGGACTGGGGTCCACGGTGGGGGACTGGGGGTCCACGGTGGGGGACTGGGGGTCCACGGTGGAGGACTGGGGTCTTCGGTGGGGGAGTGGGGTCCACGGTGGGGGAGTGGGGTCCACGGTGGGGGAGTGGGGTCCACGGTGGGGGACTGGGGTCCACGGTGGGGGACTGGGGTCCACGGTGGGGGAGTGGGGTCCACGGTGAGGGAGTGGGGTCCACGGTGGGGGACTGGGGGTCCACGGTGGGGGACTGGGGGTCCACGGTGGGGGACTGGGGGTCCACGGTGGGGGACTGAGGGTCCACGGTGGGGGACTGGGGTCCACGGTGGGGGAGTGGGGTCCACGGTGGGGGACTGGGGTCCACGGTGGGGGAGTGGGGTCCACGGTGGGGGACTGGGGTCCACGGTGGGGGACTGGGGGTCCACGGTGGGGGACTGGGGTCCACTGTGAGGGACTGGGGGTCCACGGTGGGGGAGTGGGGTCCACGGTGAAGGAGTGGGGTCCACGGTGGGGGAGTGGGGTCCACGAGGGGGGAGTGGGGTCCACGGTGGGGGAGTGGGGTCCACGGTGGGGGAGTGGGGTCTACGGTGGGGGAGTGGGGTCCACGGGGTCCACGGTGGGGGACTGGGGTCCACGGTGGGGGACTGGGGGTCCACAGGGGGGGACTGGGGTCCACGGTGGGGGACTGGGGGTCCACGGTGGGGGACTGGGGTCCACGGTGGGGGACTGGGGTCCACGGTGGGGGACTGGGGTCCACGGTGGGGGACTGGGGTCCACGGTGGGGGACTGGGGTCCACGGTGGGGGACTGGGGTCCACGGTGGGGGACTGGGGGTCCACGGTGGGGGACTGGGGTCCACTGTGAGGGACTGGGGGTCCACGGTGGGGGAGTGGGGTCCACGGTGAAGGAGTGGGGTCCACGGTGGGGGAGTGGGGTCCACGAGGGGGGAGTGGGTCCACGGTGGGGGAGTGGGGTCCACGGTGGGGGAGTGGGGTCCACGGTGAGGGAGTGGGGTCCACGGGGTCCACGGTGGGGGACTGGGGTCCACGGTGGGGGACTGGGGGTCCACAGTGGGGGACTGGGGTCCACGGTGGGGGACTGGGGGTCCACGGTGGGGGACTGGGGTCCACGGTGGGGGACTGGGGTCCACGGTGGGGGACTGGGGTCCACGGTGGGGGACTGGGGGTCCACGGTGGGGGACTGGGGGTCCACAGTGGGGGACTGGGGTCCACGGTGGGGGACTGGGGGTCCACGGTGGGGGACTGGGGTCCACGGTGGGGGACTGGGGTCCACGGTGGGGGACTGGAGTCCACGGTGGGGGACTGGGGTCCACGGTGGGGACTGGGGTCCACGGTGGGGGACTGGAGTCCACGGTGGGGGACTGGGGTCCACGGTGGGGGACTGGGGGTCCACGGTGGGGGACTGGGGGTCCACGGTGGGGGACTGGGGTCCACGGTGGGGGACTAGGGGTCCACGGTGATCTAAGGACTTGTGATCTTTGATCGTGATCAAAGTTGGTGATCTCTAACGGGAACTTCCCGAAAAACACCATTTTTGCAACGCGAACAGAAGCCACGGACGGACCCCCGCCCCTCTCTCCCTCTCTCTCCCTGTCTCTCCCTCCCTCTCCCTCTCCCTCCCTCCCCCTCCCTCTCTCTGTCTCTCTCCCTCCCTCCCTCTCTCTCTCCCTTCCTCCCTCCTCTCTCTCTCTCTCTCTCTCTCCTCTCTCTCTCTCTCTCTCTCTCTCTCTCTCTCTCTCTCTCTCTCTCTCTCTCTCTCTCTCTCTCTCTCTCTCTCTCTCTCTCTCTCTCTCTCTCTCTCCCTTCCTCCCTCCCTCCCACTCCCTTCCTCCCTCCCTCCCCCTCCCTTCCTCCCTCCCTCCCTCCCTCCCTCCCTCCCTCCCTCCGCCTCTCCCTTCCCCCCTGTCTATCCCTCTCCCCCCCTCTCTCTCTCTCTCTCTCTCTCTCTCTGTCTCTCTCTCTCTGTCTCTCTCTCTTTGTCTCTCTCTCTTTGTCTCTCTCTCTCTTTCTCTCTCTCTCTCTCTCTCTCTCTCTCTCTCTCTCTCTCTCTCTCTCTCTCTCTCTCTCTCTCTCTCTCTCTCTCTCTCTCTCCTCCTCTCCTCTAGACAAAGGCACATTACCATAGGAGGTCAGCCCCCACTATCTTCGTGAGTGTACTTGGGAGTAGACGTCCTCCTCTTCACAAGTACGGAGGACCTAGACAAACTCCTGAGCCTCGATTTCCCACCTGGCCAGGAGCACCACCTCTATCTCAACTACCCACGTCAGTTTCTAGCCGAAAGATCAGTTTTATCATCAGGACCAGCCCATGGATAACTGGCCGCACAGAAAGTGTGTTCAGTTACCAGTATGGAGTCCAAAACCCTGAACATGGGTGTGTTCTCCATTGTGTTCTGCAGTGACGATAAAGCAACAATAAAGATAATTTTCCCCTCAACAGATATGGCCACTCAGGCAGCCACACAAGGCTTCTGCTGCTGCAGCATCAAGATACCGCCCCACCAAATGAAAAAGGATTGATATCACGAGCTTGAACAGTGCTTCAAGTGCTACGAGCTCTCCCACCCCACCAATAAGTGTCTGCACCCCGTCCAGAAGTGCAGCCTCTGCGCCCGTGACCATCATTACTCAATCTGTAAATCAACAAATCATCGCTGCCGGCTCTGCAACAGCGATCACCCTGCAATTTCACACCGCTGCCCCCGCACAGGGAAAAATCAAGGCCCAGGTTGAAGCCAAGAAAGCCAACCTTCCTAACCCCGCCACCAGAGCCCCTGACGCTCTACCCAACACCTCACCTCCCACCAACCAACCGGAAGACTTCCCAGTCTTTACCCAGCCTTCCCACTCTTTACCCAGCCTTCGCACTCTTTACCCAGCCTTCACACTGGTTGGGCCCTGGGGACCCAGGGCCCAACCAGCACCCTTGCCGCCACTTGCATCACGTGCTGGCATTATCCCTGGTCTTATTCGACTAGCAGAGAGGCTTACCAGACCAGACAACCAGGGATTCATCAGCGAACTTAATGTGCTGTACCTACAAGTCTCACTACCTCCCCTACCACAAGGGACTTCCACAAGGTCGATCTCTACTCAGACTTCAGCTCCGTCAAAGACCCAGGCTGCACAAATAGCAGCTTCCTCCAATCCAGCCCCAAAAGCCATCACCATCTCACCAGAGACGCTCTCAGACGTGCTCTCTCCGACCACCATCACCACCACCGACGTGATCGAACCAGCTTCTACCACAACTCATCGACTCCAGGGCCAAAGTCAACCTCAGGCAGGGGGACCAAAACCACCAACAACGGACTACATGCAGACTTCTTAGACGAGGAAATCTCAGTAGGAGCTCCATCGTCGCAGCACTTCCTGTACTCCGTACAAGATCTCCTCATGGCGGCCACATCACCCAACTCCAGTGACAACACAGCCATGTTAACTCGCAGCAAAATTTAGACTAAGAAAAAACAGAAGACCTCGAGGCCTTCACTAACTCACCAGCTCTATAGTTTGGTAGAGCAAGCACTCCCAGACAGCCTCAACTGAAGGGCTATTCATGCCCGTGCCACCTTTTGGGTGGCTTAACCTTTATCATCAAACACGACGAGACTAGGACATTGGTACAACGTTTGAACAAGATTTAATACCTAACAAGTTGTATCATCAATATCAACCAATACGTTGTAACAGTGTTCAAATACGTCATAAAACTTTGTAACAAGATGTAATAACTTTATTACAAATTGTAACTAGCGGAAAATAGGGAGAGTTATGTTGTGTTTAGTGTTAATAATGGGTAGGCAAGGTGTACAGGTTAACACGGGAGGCAGACGTCCGCTACACGGAGTGTGTCGCGGGGGAAGGAGACGTTGTCGCTACACTGAGGAAGGAACTCTCGCACAATGGCGTCTGGCACCTGAATAAAAATATTACAATTCAACTTTGGCTTGGCCACATAGGCCTTCTTAAATTATCTTTATTCATATGTTGTTGTAAATTGCTCTAGTAGTTTGTTTTGGCTAGGCCTATACAGTGATAGCGATGAAAGACACTCAGAGAGAAAACAGACAAAAACATAAATACTCCGACACAGAGAAATATGTAAGACAGTGACACCGGAGTGTGTGATCAGGAGCCAAGTGTCTCACCATCAATGTTTCTTCCTGGCAGCTGAGTACGTGACGACGCTGAGGTCATACGAGGTGGTGACCCCGATAAAGGTCACCAGCGAGGGAGACTTCCTCACCCACAACCTCCACCACGCCCACGCCCACGCCCACCCCAGCAGGAGCAAAAGACAGGCCAACTATCAGGAGGCTCACCTCAACTATGTCATTCCGATTGATGGAGAAAATCACCAAGTATGTTGTTTGATTTTGTTCCATAGACTCAGCACCTGCATCAGATTATTATCATGAGACTATTTCAAGCTAAACCTATATGGGAATAATTAGTGTTGGATATAAATAGGAACTGAGTAACGAGGAGGTCATATTAGGCTCTTCTCTCGTCTGTGTCTCCTTCCCTCTCTCCCTCCTTTCCCTCTCCCCCTCCTTCTTTATTATCCTCCTCTCTCTTCTTTCCTTGCTTTTCCCTTCTCTCTCTCCTTCTCCTTCCCTTCTATATATAGCTGGTAAGTCTCAGCTCTCGGCTAGTGGTTGGAAGTCATATATCGTTAAATGTTCTCCCTTCCTCCGGACGGTGAGGGCATTGGGTTAACTGCCACTTTAAATTAGAGAGGCCCTCCCCTCTGTAGGCATGGTACGTCTCCTCTGTGTAGGCCTAGTACGTCTCTGCTATGTAGGCCTGTACGTCTCTGCTGTGTAGGCCTTGGTAATATACAGTTTTCGTGAGAAAACTCCGCCTATGGAGTTTTAAATGGTTGTCATTGGACAAGGGCCTGACATGATTTGTCATTGGCTAAGAGTGCCAGGACCTTAGGCCTGGTTTCAGCTGATTGGGTGGAGGCCTAGAGATTAGGCGGAGTTTTCTAGAGGAGGAGAGCCTGAGAGAGGTGGAGCCAGGACTCCACCTTGAAGGGTACGAAACAAGAGTATAGTTAGAGAGAGAGAGAGTGAGGGGGGGGGGGTGATCAACCAGGAGGCCAGCAACACTGGCTGAGAGTGAGGGGGGGGTGATCAACCAGGAGGCCAGCAACACTGGCTGAGAGTGAGGGGGGGGGGGGTGATCAACCAGGAGGCCAGCAACACTGGCTGAGAGTGAGGGGGGGTGATCAACCAGGAGGCCAGCAACACTGGCTGCGAGTGAGGGGGGGGGTGATCAACCAGGAGGCCAGCAACACTGGCTGAGAGTGAGGGGGGGGTGATCAACCAGGAGGCCAGCAACACTGGCTGAGAGTGAGGGGGGGTGATCAACCAGGAGGCCAGCAACACTGGCTGAGAGAGAGGGGGGGGGTGATCAACCAGGAGGCCAGCAACACTGGCTGCGAGTGAGGGGGGGGGGTGATCAACCAGGAGGCCAGCAACACTGGCTGAGAGTGAGGGGGGGTGATCAACCAGGAGGCCAGCAACACTGGCTGAGAGAGAGGGGGGGGTGATCAACCAGGAGGCCAGCAACACTGGCTGCGAGTGAGGGGGGGGTGATCAACCAGGAGGCCAGCAACACTGGCTGAGAGTGAGGGGGGGTGATCAACCAGGAGGCCAGCAACACTGGCTGAGAGAGACGGGGGGTGATCAACCAGGAGGCCAGCAACACTGGCTGAGAGAGAGGGGGGGTGATCAACCAGGAGGCCAGCAACACTGGCTGAGAGTGAGGGGGGGTGATCAACCAGGAGGCCAGCAACACTGGCTGAGAGAGAGGGGAGGTGATCAACCAGGAGGCCAGCAACACTGGCTGCGAGTGAGGGGGGGGGGGGGGTGATCAACCAGGAGGCCAGCAACACTGGCTGAGAGTGAGGGGGGGTGATCAACCAGGAGGCCAGCAACACTGGCTGAGAGAGAGGGGGGGTGATCAACCAGGAGGCCAGCAACACTGGCTGCGAGTGAGGGGGGGGTGATCAACCAGGAGGCCAGCAACACTGGCTGAGAGAGAGGGGGGGTGATCAACCAGGAGGCCAGCAACACTGGCTGAGAGAGACGGGGGGTGATCAACCAGGAGGCCAGCAACACTGGCTGAGAGAGAGGGGGGGGGTGATCAACCAGGAGGCCAGCAACACTGGCTGAGAGTGAGGGGGGGTGATCAACCAGGAGGCCAGCAACACTGGCTGAGAGAGAGGGGAGGTGATCAACCAGGAGGCCAGCAACACTGGCTGAGAGTGAGGGGGGGGGTGATCAACCAGGAGGCCAGCAACACTGGCTGAGAGAGAGGGGGGGGGTGATCAACCAGGAGGCCAGCAACACTGGCTGAGAGAGAGGGGGGGTGATCAACCAGGAGGCCAGCAACACTGGCTGAGAGTGAGGGGGGGGGGGTGATCAACCAGGAGGTCAGCAACACTGGCTGAGAGTGAGGGGGGGGGGTGATCAACCAGGAGGCCAGCAACACTGGCTGAGAGTGAGGGGGGGTGATCAACCAGGAGGCCAGCAACACTGGCTGAGAGTGAGGGGGGGGTGATCAACCAGGAAGCCAGCAACACTGGCTGAGAGTGAGGGGGGGTGATCAACCAGGAAGCCAGCAACACTGGCTGAGAGTGAGGGGGGGTGATCAACCAGGAGGCCAGGAACACTGGCTGAGAGTGAGGGGGGGGGGGGTGATCAACCAGGAGGCCAGCAACACTGGCTGAGAGTGAGGGGGGGTGATCAACCAGGAGGCCAGCAACACTGGCTGAGAGAGAGAGAGAGAGAGAGAGGGGGGGGGGGGTGATCAACCAGGAGGCCAGCAACACTGGCTGAGAGTGAGGGGGGGTGATCAACCAGGAGGCCAGCAACACTGGCTGAGAGTGAGGGGGGGTGATCAACCAGGAGGCCAGCAACACTGGCTGAGAGTGAGGGGGGGTGATCAACCAGGAGGCCAGCAACACTGGCTGAGAGAGAGAGAGAGAGGGGGGGGTGATCAACCAGGAGGCCAGCAACACTGGCTGAGAGTGAGAGGGGTGATCAACCAGGAGGCCAGCAACACTGGCTGAGAGTGAGGAGGGGTGATCAACCAGGAGGCCAGCAACTCGGAAAGGTTAGGAGAGGAAACTTTCAATTAACGTTTTTCATAACGTTTTGAAACTTTGAGAATTTCGTGCCCACCTAACCTACCAGAGGACCCTTAACTTACTGTTGTTGAAAAAAAAATCGCCATTTTTTTTTCATTTTCAAATTACGTCCACTTTCGGCTATACTGGTAAATGGCCAAAGGCGACGTTATTTTTAAGAGGACAGGTTGGGAGAGCGAGACGTACCAAGTCATGTATAGAAGGGTAGGAGAATGGAAGAGAAGGGAAAAGCAAGGGAAGAAGAGAGAGGAGGATAATAGAAGAAGAAGGGGTGAGGGAAAAGATGGAAGGAGGGAAAAAGAAGGAAGGAGGGAGAAATGGAAGGAGGGAGAGATGGAAGGGGAGAGAGAGATGGAAGGAGAGAGAGAGAGGTAAGGAGAGAAAGAGAGGTAAGGAGAGAAAGAGAGGTAAGGAGAGAAAGAGAGGTAAGGAGAGAAAGAGAGGTAAGGGGAGAGGGAGAGAGAGAGAGAGAGAGAGAGAGAGAGAGAGAGAGAGAGAGAGAGAGAGATATGAGAGGTGGGCCTAACATGATCTCGTCATAACATCTTGCATGGGATCAATAGGCCTTGTGCAGATACATACAACAGGACAGACAAAGTAAGTAAGTAAGTAAGTAATTATCAAAAGAAGGCACCAAACCGGGAAGGCTATGTAGCACCATCAAATACGCAAAATAATCAGAGGGCGCTAAATATCACCAAGGATGCCAATACGAGAACAAAAACGCATAAGGCGAACGATATCAAAAGTATCCGAGTCACCAAGAATTCTATCGAGGGACAGGTGACCGCGAGGGGCGGTCGGAAAGCAAGACACACGCTCGTCCTGGAAGTCAGGACATTCAAGAAGGACATGCACGACCGTAAGAGGGACAATGCAACTAGGACAATAAGGAGCAGGGCGGCGCTCCATCAAGTGACCATGAGTTAAGCGAGTATGGCCAATACGCAACCTCGCTAGAGCTGTTTCCCACCGCCGGTTACGGTGGAAGGAGGACGGCCACGAGGAAACACAACATTTAAGAGTACGTAGCTTGTTACCAGTAACAGACAACCAAGAAGCCTGCCAACGGGTAAGGACTGAGGAATGGATAACCGGGTAAAAGTCGGAATATGGAATGCCTTTACGAGAGATGGGACAAGAGCGGACAGCTTCCTTAGCGGCAGCATCCGCACGCTCATTTAAAGACACGCCAATATGGCTGGGAACCCAACAAAACTCAACCGACTTAAATTTACTGTGAACGAGAAACAGCCAATGCTGGATCTCGACAACTACCGGATGAACTGGATTAAAGCACCCGAGAGCCATGAGGGCACTATGAGAGTCAACAACAACCACAAAGGAAGACTGACAACGAGAAAGCAGGAGACGAAGAGCATAGAGAATAGCATAAAGTTCCGCTGTAAAGATGCTAGTCTCCGGAGGCAAGCGACACATATAAGTGCGATCAGGAAAAACAACAGAGTAGCCAACACCGTCCGCTGACTTAGACCCATCGGTGAAGACAGAAACGGAGCGGGAGTGAGAAGAAAAGTGCTCGAGGAAAAGGCGTTTTAGAACTGTAGGAGGGGTAAAAGCTTTAGTGATACGAGTCAAGGATGTACAAAACCGCGGAAGAGGGACCCTCCACGGGGGCAAAGAAGGAACAACACGAGGAGAAACATCAGAAATACGAACGGAAAGAGAATCCTGCAGGCGAGATAACCGGACAGAAAGAGGGAGGTGGTGAAGAGGAACAGGAACCGCAGGAGGGGTAAAAGTTAAAGCACGACAGAGACGAGAGGAAGGATGTTGCAAGGACCGCGCAAGATAGCGAAGACAGTAGCGATCACGGCGGTCCTGGAGAGACAGGAAGCCAGTGTCAACATACAAGCTAAGGACGGGAGTCGAACGAAAGGCACCAGAACTGAGGCGCAACCCAGTATGGTGCAAAGCATCAAGACGGCGAAGAGTAGAAGGAGAAGCAGACGAGTAAGCAGGGCAACCATAATCGAGCTTAGACAGGACGAGAGAGGAATGTAAAGCAAGGAGAGTGCGCCTATCTGCCCCCCAAGAAGTATGGGACAAGACCCGAAGGAGGGTAAGGGACTTAGAGCACTCAACACGGAGGTAAGAGATATGGGGAGACCAAGACAAACGAGTGTCAAGGAATAACCCCAAAAGCTTCGCGGAATCTTTGTATTCAAGGGGATGACCATA